CACATTTGATTGGACGATAAAAAAATAAGTGCATCTGGAGGGTCACAAATTGATTGGACAAAAAAAAAAAAGGCTGAACGACAAAAACCAGCAGTTTGCGTTAACCACAGACACATTATGTCTAAAAACATGGCATTATTGACAGATTGTGTTAACCAGAGAGATATTTTGTTCATGGTGTTAACCGGTTCGACATTAGCGGCTTTTCAGGTTCAACATTAGCGGCGTCTCCATAACTTCTCTTTCCGCCTCTTAACACAGAACTTCTGGTTACATTTCAAAATAAGAGCAACATGAATGGGTAGTGTGGAGGGCTAAATGTTTTGTTTTTTAACACCTAGCTATGACATTAAAAAACAAAATCTGTTTTGGTTGTTCAATAATGTGAAAATAGTTACAATCGATTCATAAAGAAAGAAAAATAAAGCAACCAAAATAAAAATTATATTTAAACTGGCTTTGGGACAAAGGATGTTTCCTTTAACTTCACATTTTCTTGTTCAACCTTTTAAATCAGTCACTGAAAATGAGTGATTGTCAGTTTCTGTCAGATTTCTGCAACTGGAGCAGGTATTCTGTTTACTGGTTAACTTCCTCAACGGTCTCACATTTTAAGGGTCAACCCTACTCCATGTTTCAGCTCCTTTCATAGATCAGATCTCATAGAAGAACTTCTAAAGAGCAAATTTTGTTTTTAGCGTTTGTTTTGGGCCGTTATCTCGTTACAGGACTCATGATCTTTAATTGAGACCAGACTTTTTGACAAATGGGAGCAGGTTTCGCTTCAGATGCTTCATATTTCATTGTACCCAGATCACACTCAAGCCAACTCAACTCAACTCGAGTGTCAGGTGCAGCCTACAACCCAAGAACAAAACAGAATCTTCTTGTGTTTGACAGCAGATATAACGCTGTTTCTTAGAAGCCTTCAGTTTTAAAAAAGAGCTGATGTAACTTACCTAAAGAGCCAGCAAATACAGCTAGCCAATCAATGTTTGTCCTCTACAAACTTCTATTCTCCAGAAACGCCCACTTTTGGTCTGCAGAGAACCCCTTCTCCTTCGTCCAGCTCACCTGGAGCAACAGTCAAATCAGCTTCATTTTGCTGTGCTGCCCTGGCGTAATGCAGCTAATTTGATAATTAAAGTGCATTTTTTTAAGTAAAAGTTCAACTGAGAAACACCTTTGCTATAATGTCGAGCAAACAATTGTTTTAGGTGCTTAGCTTGTTAAAGTTCTATGAAATGCGCAGCTTTCCTTTTTCCTGATTTCCTCACTCTGCACGCTCCCAGAGCACCGAGGCAGCAAATACTTTTGAAATACAGCTTTGACCATTAAAGTCCTTTTATTAAGTAAAAGTTAAGTAAAAGTATGTAAGTAAAAGTTCAACTGAGACACACCTTTACTATAAAGTCGAGCAAAAAAATAATGGGCTTTAGGTGGTTATCTTCTTAAAGTGTAAAGAAATGCAGCAACTGGTCCCGCTGCACGTGCCCGCTTCACAGCACCTCAGAAGCGAAACTATTTTTGAACTTCAGCTGATTTGACCAATAAAGTGCATTTATTAAGAAAAAGTTAGACTGAGACACACATTTACTATTATTTTGAGCAAACAAATATTTGTTTTAAGTGTTAATCTTGTTAAATCCTTGTTAAAGTCCTTACGATTAGATTCTTGGGTCTAATCCTTGGATTATTCCACTTTATTAGACATATTTGGACTGATGCAACTTATATGGCGGTGCGACATGAACGGCGGAAAATATGGTACTAGTACAACTAGTAAGTACAAATACATACATACATATATACATATAAATATATACATATACATATATACATACATATAAATATATACATATACATATATACATACATATACATATATACATATACATATATA